GACACGGCTAGATAGAGGCGGCTCGTAGTGCGCAAGGAAAACAGCTTGTGCAACCTCTTCCGATATAGCAGTGCGAAGCGGGGTGTGTAGACGGCTGGTGGTCTCGTGAGCAAAAGGCACTAGAGAAAGTTGGCGGGTGACATCCTCACGAACGAAGGCTCGGACTTGCTGAAGCAATGGTGAATTGTCAGGCATGGTGTCGAAACTGGACAGCGGCTCACCACCACGCTGAGCTTGTCGAGTCAGAGAGCGTTGCTTCTTCAACTCGTCGTAGCTCCGACATAAGCTGACGACTTCAGAAACTGTGCTCGGATTTCTAGCCAAGAGCATTTGAAATGCGTCATCGTCGATGCCCTTCAGGATGTGTTTGACCTTGTGCGACTCGGGCATGGTGTCATTCGCGCGTCGACAACGGTCGACGACATCCTCAATATAGCTGGTGAAGTTTTCACCAGTCTGCTGAAAGCGGACGCGCGAACGCTGTTCGGCTTCATCCCACTTATTATTGGCGCTCACCAGCTCGTAGTGCTCAAGCAAGTCTTCCACGTCGGTCCCATCCGCACCGCTGAAGACCTTCGGGTGCCGTAGCCTAGGATGGCCAGGGCAGCTGAACTGGGACGACGATGCCGATGGGTTGGCGTTGTCAGTCAAGAGGGGCGGTAGCGTGCGACTTCGCAGTTCCAGGGTGTGCGACGGGGATAAACAGCACCTCCACCAAATGTGACGAGGTTTATTAGTCGATAATGACAACGGCAAGACAGCGTGAAGAACCGTCCAACAAAGATCAGCACAGCAGCCAGCCGAAGCACAAGCCGAGAGAGCCGGGCGTTGGTGATGCTGCTCGCCGCAGGCGCATCTTCTTCTTTAATATATATATATATATATATATATATATATATATATATATATATATATATATATATGTGTGTGTGTGTGTGTGTGTGTATTATGAATACGTTTTTCCATTATTACTGAAAAACGTACATCTGCATTTGCTATGAGTGCCAGAGCACCGGGGATTATATTTGAACGAAGTGGCAGACTCTTTAGTGGAAGTACCTGTGAGTGTACCAATCATCCCAGTTTTACCAGATACGCCCCAAGTGCCAGCGTCAACGTTAAAAATGCTTGTTTGCAATGCGAAATAGAAAAATTATCATTAGATAAATATAAAGATTTCGACCACTTAATGCATTGCTGAAATAAATAGTAATGTGTATCTCGCCAGTAAAAGTTACTTATACTAGATGTCGATGAGAAGTTCATAACTTAATTATTACTTAAACCAAGCTGAACTAAAGGCGTCCCCATTGTGCATTTTTTGCAACGATATTCAAACTAGTATACAAATATCTTTATTTCGTTGTCGTTATTCTGACCTGAGAAAAAGATTTTTATAAGCCCCTTGGTGGTAAATGTTGCAGTACTTTTATCACTTGGCAGCACTGAGTTGAGTTACTCACACAGGAATGTTCTTTGTTGTGTTTCACTACGTCAAAACAAACAAAGTGATTTCCGTGTTAGTCTATCCTCATTTATTCAAATTCTTAGTTTATAATTTGGAGTTATTATAGGAAAGAGAGCTGGTTAGACCGCTTGCTCAGTAAGCATTTTTATTTATCCGAAGTTTTGTCTAAAAATAATTTTAAAATTGCTTTTATTGTCATTACTTAAGCATCCTGTGGGCTCGGCAGCACCCCAGCGATGGCCCGCACTCACATGCAACGCCTGCTTTTTGTGCAGATATTCTGCGTGGCCCGTCTTCAATCCTTCCCCGGTGGCCTGCAGCACGCTGCACATCAGAGTTCGGTCCCCCAGGCTAAGCTACCGCTGCACGCTTTGGACCCATCAGCCAGGATTCACTGTCTGCATTGTGCCGTGGATACCCTGCCGCCCGCACCGCACGAATGCCCTTCAATGTTCCCGCCTGTGCCTCCGTCACTGCTGCCGCACTTCCCCTCATGGTCACGAGGCACGGAAACAGAACTGACGTCACACCGCTACGATAAAAGCTTCACCAAAGGCCGCGCGTTCTTCAGTGGGCTCGGCAGCACCCCACCGATGGCCCGCACTCACATGCAACGCCTGGTTTTTGTGCAGGTAAAAAATTCCTGTTTCCTATTCTCCAAGCGTACCAAATATGCTGCATTGCTAGTGCTGCAGAGCCCAAACTGTTGCTTAGAGGTTGTTTCCAGCTGTATTCGTGCCCTGCGAGTGCTGTTGCTATTATGTGGCGACATCGAGACAAACCCTGGCCCTGCAACTCGGTCCTCTGATACTGACGTTATGTCTGTCCTCAACGATATTCAGTCCGGGCAGGCAGCCATCCTTAATGAAATGAAATCCATACGTTCTACGCTCTTGCAACACGAGCAAAAATTTGAAGAAATTACTAAAAGACTTTCTAAAATTGAAGACAACTGCTCTGTAATAGCCACGGTAAAAGAAAAGGTGGATGGCTTACAAACACTGAGCAAAACTGTGGTGATATCGCTAGCCTTGTCGCCAGGATGGACGACTCTGAGGACAGACAGCGACGATGCAACCTTGTCTTTTACGGTTTTGAAGATGCCAGTGACGAGACTTGGGCACAGTCTGAGAAGCGCGTCATGGATCTATGTCTTGCCAATCTGGAAGTTTTAGTCCAACGTAGAGACATTGAACGCGCTCACCGCATAGGGCGTTTTCAACCAAGTAAAGATAGACCCATAATTGTCCGGTTCTGCCATTTCAAGGATCGAGAACTAGTGCTGTCCAACGCCAAAAAACTAAAAGACGCCAATTACAGCATTAGCGAAGATCTTTCTCCCAACACACGCAAGGCCCGTGAGCACCTCACTGAATTTGGTAAAGCATCTCGCAAGGCCTACAAACTTCGGTACAACAAACTAACCATTGATCACAAACTAACCATTGAACGGCAAAGGAATTTGAATCACTCGCTGCGAAGGCTAAGCGTTCTTTTTTCTCTTCTACATTACCGAATATGCTACGAAATAACCCTAAACAATTTTGGAGAGCCATTAACCCCAACCCCACGAAAACGTTATCCTTACTTGATGAACACGGCGATCCTATTCCAAAACATCTTACCCCTCAAGTACTAAATACTGCCTTCTCTTTCGTGTTTACCCCTGAATCTTGCAGCCCACTTCCAGACTCCCCATTTCTTGATCATCCTGTCATGCCAGGCATTACATTCGATTCATACGGTATTGAAAAACTAATTGACGAATTGAAACTAACGTCATCCGCGGGAATGGATGGCATCAATTCCAAAATTCTGAAAAACACTAAGCCTATAACAAGCATTATTCTTTCGCACATATTTCAACAGTCCATTTCATGCGGAGTGGTGCCGGAAGACTGGAAGCTTGGTAAAATCGTTCCTGTCCCGAAAAAAGGTCTTTCATCTTCACCGAGTAATTATCGCTCCATATCCATCACAAGTGTACGCTCTAAATTAATGGAACACATAATTCATTCCCACATAGTAATTTTTCTACGTTCAGTACATTTCTTTCACCCTAACCAACACGGTTTTCAAAAAGGACTTTCATGTGACACTCAACTCGCCCTGTTCGTTAACGACCTCAGTTCTAGCCTGGATAATAACATACCTGTAGATGCCATCTTCATTGATTTCGAAAAAGCCTTTGACAAAGTTTCTCATAACAGATTATTTTTGAAGCTTTCACGTCTTAACCTCAATTGTCTTGTTTTTAATTAGATATGTGACTTCTTGACTAACCGTAAGCAGTTCGTTTGTGCTAATAACCATCGCTCCTCCCTATCTGCTGTTACCTCCGGCGTACCTCAAGGCACGGTCCTTGGTCCTCTACTATTCCTTATCTATATTAACGACCTCCGCAATAACATAGCGTCTAACATTCGTCTGTTCGCAGACGACTGTGTCATTTATCGTCCTATTCACAATTCTAACGACCCTGTCATCCTACAGTCTGATCTTTGTTTGATTCAATCATGGTGCGAAAAATGGCTTATGTTCCTTAACATAAAGAAAACTTGTGTCATTTCCTTCCCTCGCCGTCAATCCTATTCCTCCATTAAATACTTCCTATTTGATTCTGAAATAACAGCAGCTAATTCATGTAAATACCTCGGTATGACTCTAACTTCAGATCTGACCTGGTCATCCCACATTATGAACATCACTAATGACGCCAACCGCGTGCTTGGCTATCTCCGAAGAAACTTACGTCTAGCCCCACCTTCTGGTAAACTTTTAACCTATGTAACACTAGTCCGCACGAAGCTACAATACGCATGTGCCATCTGGGATCCCCATCAAATAACTCTTATTAAAACGCTTGAAACTATCCAAATGGTGCAGCCAGATTCATTTATTCTGACTATTCCTATCTTAGCAGCGTCACCAAACTAAAATCTCAAGCTAACTTGGTTAACTTAGCTTCACGCCGCAAAATTTCAAGACTGTGTTTGTTTCACACATTTTATCATGCATTGCAGCCTAAACCATGTTATCGTTCCAGCCCATCGTCTTTCATGCCGTATCAGCCATTCGAAAGCGGTTTATCCACCCCGTGCGCATATCACTGCCCGTGACTCTTCATTTTTTGTGCAAACATCAACAGAATGGAACAATCTTCCTGCTCACATCGTGCACCACTACAGCATCGCCCATTTCAAGGAAGCCATCGAAAAAATCATCTGTTTGTGAATGTCTACCTCCTCATGTAACACCCCTTGACTGGGGCCCTTGAGGTATTATAAATAAATAATAAATAAATAAATAAATAAATAAATAAATAAATCAATCAATCCAGCCCCCCGGATCCTAGCCCATGCCCTGTTGGAGGTGATCAATATCATAGTAATTAATTGAAATTTACGGCAACTACGTTTTTGCCAACAGCATTGTTAAACTTGAAATGCACTTTTCATTATCATTTGCAATAACATTACATTGCAAACAATTATCAGGCAACTGTACTACTGGAAAGAAGTCTATTGCTTACCAAAATTAAGTCCGCTGGCAGTGGCACTACTGTTATACGTCTCATTTGGTGTGCAACGACTCCTTTCAGGACGAAGAGTAGCCCAAAAGCGGCCAGTGAGAGCAGTAGAGTAGCCGGCACACTGTGCGGAATACTCTTGGCCACGTAGTAGATGGTCTGCGTGAGAACGTTGTAAACTGTGGATAAAAAGTGATGCAACACGTAACAAACATATATGAAACCTATAGCAGCGGCTGATAGAAGAATAACTTGACTGGTGCATTCTTGAATAAAGACTGTATTATGAAGTTGAAAAAAGTAACTATGCGTGTCACATGAAGAAAAAAAACACAAGGATCAGTGAAGCACTTATTTTTGTTATTTCAAGTCAGCCTGCTGCATGAAATGATATTGCGTAGCGTGACCACATCAAGCAAGCAGTAGTTCTGATTGTTTGGTCCCATCAGACACATTTCAGTGCTTGATGTGACCACTGCTACCATCATTACAGAGAAATCAGTACAAACCTTCAGAATAGTATTTTTGCCGTGTTTGTTGAGCATAGGGGCCCGATGATGATCCTACTTAATTTCTGTGCTCTTTGCGTGAGAGCTCGTTCATGTTTAGGCTATGACATCCTTGTAGAGAGAGACAGGTTTTCAGCCGTGTTTGCTGTTTATGGTCCACTATTTTTACTATATAGGGGATGTAATAGTAGTTTTAGTACAGTGAAAAGATGTATTATTCTGTGGATACACTTGTTAAAGAAAGGATCCTTTCATTTTTCTCAAGATTGGCTATGAAAAAGATTCTCCATTATGTGCTCATTTTGCAGTTGCCGTTGCCAATTACTGTTCAAGCATTTTGTCCTGCAAATAAACGTCCTGGTGATTTTTTGCGTAAAATACACGCAAAAAGTCTAATTGTCAATTGAACGCATTCAGTTTGTACACATGACATGCTTTCTTCGCCCCGTCGCGGTGGTCTAGTGGTTAAGGTACTCGGCTGCTGACCCGCAGAACGCGGGTTCGAATCCCGGCTTCGGCGGCTGCAATTCCGATGGAGGCGGAAATGTTGTAGGCTCGTGTGCTCAGATTTGGGTGCACGTTAAAGAACCCAAGGTGGCCTAAATTTCCGGAGCCCTCCACTACGGCGTCTCTCATAATCATATAGTGGTTTTGGGACGTTAAACCCCACATATCAATCAATCAATGTTTTCCTTCGCAAGTCGGGAAAAAGAAAACATGGCTGGTAAGTTTACTCACCAGAGGAGTACCGAAGAGGCCTTTGCTAGTCTGGGCACCTACCTCCGAAGACCGATGGCAGCTGGCTGACGATCACCATGACGGCGGTGGCAGTGAGAAATCCTTCGGCCATTACAGGAGATATGATGCCCGCCAAGCGGTCCAATGGTAATAGCCACAAGGCTACCTGCGTTTACGAATTATTGTTAGCTATGGGTGGTTAAAAATGAAAACTAATACAACTAGCCTGAACTACAAGCGCGACACTGAAGCATGATGTTTTTTCAAGTCTATGCGCTACGTATTCTGTCTATTACTATATTTCTGCTTTGTACTTTTATTTGTTGATCGATTGATATGTGGGCCCCGCCACGGTGGTCTAGTGGCTAAGGTACTCGGCTGCTGACCCGTAGATCGCGGGTTCGAATTCCGGCTGTGGCGGCTGCATTTCCGATGGAGGCGGAAATGTTGTAGGCCCATGTACTCAGATTTGGGTGCACGTTAAAGAACCCCAGGTGGTCAAAATTTCCGGAGACCTCCACTACGGCGTCTCTCATAATCATATGGTAGTTTTGGGACGTTAAACCCCACAAATCAATCAAATCATGATTGATACGTGGAGTTTAACGTCCCGAAACCACCATATGATTATGAGAGACGCCATAGTGGAGGGCTCCAGAAATTTCGACCCCCTGGGGTTCTTTAACGAACACCCAAATCTAAACACACGGGCCTACAACTTTCCCGCCTCCATCGGAAAAGCAACCGCCACAGCCGGGATTCGATCCCGCGAGCTGCGGGTCAGCAGCCGAGTACCTTAGCCACTAGACCACCGTGGCGGGGCGTCCTCCTATTTCTTGCTCCCTGTCATAAGCTGTTAGGTATATCACCCTTTTTACGACCTAATTGAAATGAATCCGTCTGTGTTAGTAGGGCTCTTTTGGCGTTATAATAAAGATAAGGGAGAGTTTGTTTAATAAATGTAAATTTCAAGACCCTCAACATGAGGCGCTTATGCGTTGAGTACTGCAGCTGCTTCGTCTGCCAAATTTATTGCATGCGTATATCGTCAGCTGAAACAAATGCTTGGTCGAGTTGTTTCATACCTAAGTAACGTTTCAGTAGTGCTAGTAGCTCTAGCAATCTTTCCATTGCTTTGATGCATCACATGGGGTATAAAATTTAGGCCATCTCCCGCCTAATGGAACAAGGTGGGGGATATGCGAAGGAGCGGCGACTTTGTCTAATTAGAGCACACCAATGGCGGCGTTACGATGCTCGTTTAAAACACTACTGACATAATTTAGGTTGTTCTTGAACCAAAGTAGGTCGCACACGCTGCCATTTTAGAAACTTTTGATTGAATCGGCAAGTCGCTTTGTCAGTTCCAGGCCGTTGTAGTTGTCTCGAACGCCTCGATGCCCGGGCCAGAGATTCACGTTGCCTTGTCGCTTCGGTATTCGCGACTCAGCCTTTCTGTTGCATTTAGGCTTTGCGTCGTTTCGCTGTTCTAGATTCAACGTTTCTGTTTCGATTTGGCTTAGCGTTGCCTCGCAGCTTCGAGATTCATTTGCCGGCGTCACTGTTTATGTTCCTAATCTCGAGCCCTCTTCTGCTCAGCTGTGCTACTTACGCTGCTTACGCTGATGCTATCACAACTTGCGTTGCCCTCAAAGCTTACAATATCTATGGCGCTACAACTGGCGCCAACGTGGACGTTTATAGCGCCGTTGCGATGAAGGGTGCATTGGGAGATAGCGTGGGTGGCGTTAAAACGAGCGCACAGCTGTGCCGGAGAGAAACTTTTCTAAACACTATAGAGAAACGAGAGAGGAGACACCAAACGGACGCAGCACTTATGCCACCATTGCCGGAAGAGAAGAGGGGAAAGTTGGCGCATGCGCAGTGCGGGAGTGGACACGTGAGAGAAGGATGGACACAGCCCCAAACAAAAACTGCTTTGGCTCAAAAAAAAAAAAAAAAACTAGACCACCTCCCGATAAAGGTAACTATGTGTGAATGTGAAGCAGATGGTAAGCCAATAACGTTTCCTTTCTGCTTCGGGAAACCAAAGTTTGAGATCAACACGTCGCCGCTCCCGTTTCGCGGCTGTGTCCCGTGCGCTCACTGCGGCGTTGTACAGGCGAGAATGAGGCGCACGCGCTCCATCCCTTTCACCAAAGTCGATGATTGTGCAAGTCTTTCTTATGGTGGAACTGCCGTAACGCCCCCAGAAGAGCATGCAGCTGTCGCACCACCTCTTGTGCGCACCGTTCCGTAGAGTAGAGGATTCCTGAATAGAGACAGGGGGGAGCGTACGAAAGGAAACAAGAAAAGGTGAGGATGCGCATGCACAGTGGGTGGTGGACGCCGCCACAGAGCACCTACCAGATTAAAGAACGGAAACTGTACCTTTTAGTAGTAGTAGTAGGATTTTTATTTACAGTAGGCCGGATACAGAGCTCACTGCAGTGGCAAAGGGCTAAAGGCGAACAGCCTGACAAAGGCCCTTGTCCCTCCGCAGTCCGTGACAGTGCAAAGCTTAAACAATATATATATTCAATACATTGGTTTCAATCAACCTGAAATTGTAAACACAAAATTCAAACATAAATGGCATAAGAAGTTTACATAACACATTTTAAGAATTAGAGGTCACTCTCGTTATAATTCACAACTAAAACAATATCAATGAAACAACATCGAAAACAGACACAAAATGCATGCGGATACAATGAATTCCGCTGTATGCACTCGTATAATTGACATAGAAGTTTATGAACAATTTAAGCATTTACAGAGGCATGAGACTCCCTCACGTAGTTTCGATAGTGTATACCGGTGGTTATGAATAAGTTCTTTATTTGTTTCTTGAAAGTCGCACTACTAGCCCTAAAGCTCAATTGATCTGCAGGGGTATTTAAAACCTGAGGTACCTGGTAAGCAATGCTTTGTTTTCCATACTTGGTTCTTGTTCTAGGAGCTCGTTTCTTTTGTTCTCGCATACTGTAGTGTGGTCTTTCGGTGCAACTTTCTTCATATAGCTTAGTCTTTTGTATTAACTGAAGTAATTTAAAATGATATAATTGATCAATTCTGAGTATGGAATGTTTAATGAATAGTGGAGCAGTGCGCAAGTTTTGTAGATTCCCCCTGTAATTTTCAAAGCAGCGCAATATTTTCTTTTGTATAGTTATTAACTTATGGTAATTCCCTTGTGATGTCGTTCCCCAGACTAACATCCCATAACTTACTTTAGAATGGAAGAGTGCATAGTATATACTTATTTTTAACCTCAATGGGATTAAGTGCATTGTTCTAAAAAAACAACCAACTATTCGCGCTAATGCGGTGATAAGATGATTTACATGTGTATTCCAGTTTAATTCCTCCTGAAACCATACACCAAGAAACATTTGTTCCCTAACATGTGTGATGCAATTTCCTTCGAATTTTACAGCTATGTTACTAATAGGTTTGTTTATAGGTCGGAATATCATATAGGTTGTTTTTTTTTGCATTCAAGCGCAGTTCATTTTGCCTTAACCAATTTGAAAGATTGCTTAGATAATTATTTACACTGACCTCAAGTGATATTAGATTGTCTGATGTAAAGAAAACATTCGTATCGTCAGCGTACATTGTAAGTTCAGGAGAATGAGGTATAGCGACAATATCATTTATATAGACAAGGAACAATAATGGCCCCAGTATAGACCCTTGGGGGACTCCTTGGTTCAACTTTATCTTTGCAGAAATAGTGTTATTCAGTTTTACATATTGATAACGATCTTCTAGGTAACTTTTAAACAGTTGTAGTGCAACTCCACGCACCCCATAACTTGATAATTTATGAATCAATGATTTGAATTGTATGGAGTGAAATGCCTTTTGAAGATCGAGGAAGAGCCCAAGAGTATATTTTTTGTTTTCCATATTTTCGATTATCTTATCTTTGATATACAGTAGAGCTTGTTCTGTTGATTTATTTTTTGAAAACCATACTGACTTTTTGTTATTATTTGGTGCTTATCAAAAAAGGATGCAAGTCTATCATAAATAACCCCTTCAAATATTTTTGATATTGTTGGAAGCAAAGATATAGGTCGATAATTCGCTAAAGTATTGATATCACCACCTTTATGTACTGCAGTGACTTTTGCTACTTTTAGCTGCTCTGGAAATACACCGTTAGTGAGGGTGAGGTTGATAATGTAGGCCAAGACATTAGATATCAATGGTGACACCATTTTTAACTCAACAGAACCTATCTCATCAATCCCTGATGCAACATTGTTTTTAAGTTTTCTAATTAATCTTTCTACTTCAACCGGATCTGTGGGTGCGAGAAAAATAGAATACGGCAAAGGAGATTTATCAGGAGTTGGAGCATTATCTCGCTTTTCATCTGTTAAAATAAAGGAACCCGCATTTATGAAATGATCATTCATGACATTGGCCAACCTTTCACCACTGAAAATCTGACCATTAATTGTTAGGTCCTGTGTCCTATTACAACCCTTTTTTCTGTTCGTAAGCCCATTTATGACCTCCCATAGCTTCATCTGGTCATTGTAAATGCTTTCAAATAATTTTTCATAGTAGTTCTGTTTAGCCTTCCGTATTTCTGAATTTAAAACGTTTCTGTATTTCTTGTACTCAGCTAAGGCGTCTGTGTTCCGCGAACGGATGAAATCATGATACAATTTATTCTTTATTTTTAAGCGCCGGTAAAGATCACGATTTATCCAAGGCTTTCTGCATTTCTTATTTCTGCCACGTGAGCGCTTCTGAAGTGGAAATGCCGCATCATAGCTAGTACTCAATAACGTCATGAATGTTGGGCTGTTGTATCAAAATAACATGCAAATAGGTAGCGGCGGCATTCTGAACTGCAATACCGCGAGGTGAGATGGCGCTAGTATTACTATCATCATCAGTAAACAGACGCATTTTTTTTTTGCTGCAGGTGGGGGGTTCACTGCTAGTTGGCGCTGCTCGCTTCCTCTGGTACTTTGTTTTTTTTTTCTCGTTGGTGAATCGTGGTTCGCGTGTGTAGTTATCACCAGGTGACCTAAATGGCATCGACTGCCAAAAACGACGTGAATCAAGTAAGGTTTGCATTGTTTATTGCGAGTGTCCAAACCGGTACAATCAATGCATACAATGGGGTCCGAACAAAACAAG